GGAAATTCTGAAAGGGTTTCTCAATGAAGAACCAATATGGTATATCAAAGTCTTAGAATGTCTCTTTGAATGAGCCACCAATGCTATGATCATGGAATTTATCACCATGTCCGCGGGTATCTGAAAGCATAATAATCATTTCAATTTCTTTGGTTGTAAATGTAAAATAAGCATATCTATGGTGAAACAAAAATGAAAAAAGAAAAAAAAAATGCTAATTATGGGTAACTTGCCGCATCTAAAATTGTCTTGGGGTGACCAAGAAAACTTCTTAGTGTTCCTTTACCATATTTGACAAAAACAACGTCAAGAGTTCTGCAATTACAAAATTAAATAATTTAATTACCGAAACACACAGACACACACACAATATATGTGTTAAGTGATTCTTCAAAGCATATACCTCACACCTTCAATCCAACCAGGAAATGGTTCAGAGTGAGTGCTGATTACCATAGTGGGGCGTGTGATGATCAACGGTACATCATCTTTCATATTCAATAAAACCATCTCTCCCATTGCTTTTGTAAATACATAAGCATTTGGAAATCCATGTAAATTTGCCCTATAAATTGATTATTGGAAAACACAAGCTCAAAATGAGAGGGACGAAATCCACTAGGGCTAGTCTAGTGGTGTGGGTGTGTGTGAGTGTGTGGTTGTGTGTTCTATTCTCGGTAACTTACCAAAAAAAAAAATGAGAGGGACGAAAAAAAAAGTGCGTTGATGGGATGGAGCTCATTTAAAAATAATAACTTAGAATAATTTCCATAAAATTAATACCTTAGAATTCCAAAGTTTTTCATCACAGATGTAATTGTTTGTTCACTAGCATTTTGTAATCGGAGTTCATTCAATTTTTCCTCAATTAACTGCTTTTCTAAGTTGATATCTAATCTTGAGGACCCGTTTAGCGTGTGACCTATATGCAAAGGTTCCTCACGTATGAGTCCTTTAACCTCCCCGCAGACATAAGCTGAAATAGAAATACCAACTAGTCAGTGACACATAATTGATGCCTGAAATTCAAATAGGTAATGTATAATTTTTTATTTTTTTTTGGAAATTATAGGTAATGTCTAATTAACTTAAACAATTCATTCTTTTACATAGGCACGCGGAAACATTGTTGAGCTGATTATTACGTACCAGTAGATACATGGAGAAGAATTTCAACTTTAAAGCAAGTCTTAGCAAAGTTCAAAACATGAAGAGCTCCCATAGTATTAACACCCATTGCAATATCCAATCTGCACAAAACAATATTTTTATACATAAAAAAGTGCATGCAGCTTAATTACTAAGGTTATGGCTATCTTATTTATCAATTAACCTCTCGTCAAAATTGGTAGTTGCAGCACTGTGTACTATGATATCTATCTCTTCCAACATCTCTTCCCTCAGATTTAAGTCTTTAAGTCCCAAGTTCTCAACTGAAACATCGCCGGCAACTGCAATCACTTTCTCCGATACGAAGGAACCAAAATCTTCACCCCACTTATCTCGTTGTATACTAAACAAGTCCTTCGCAAAGACCTAGATATATAAATATAAATATGCGGGGATAAATGTTATGTATATGAATGTAAACTTGTAACATGCATTGAAAATTCATATTTAATAGTAAAATAATTTGACTACCTCGTTGTGCAAGCGTTGGGTAGCTAAATGAGGATTTTCCGCTCTTAGAAGAAGATATAACTTTTTTATGTTTGGTTGAACCCTTAGTATCTTCTCCACAAAAACTGCATAAATTAATAACAACATTAATTGAACTAATCCTCTCTTACAGAAAAAAATGCGCGTGAGATATATATGAAGATATATAGCATGTACTTTTTGCTAAGAATCCCGTTGCACCAGTAACTAAAATGGCCTTTCCCTTTAGAAAGTCGTATACACTTCCCAACTCCATCATAGGTAGATCAGTGTTTCAGCATTCTAATATTTAGTAACCTGAAATGTGTGATAGAACTTTGCTTGCTGCCAATTGCTTCTGAAACGATCTATATATAGACAACTTAGATAGTTGAACTTGTCTGAATCAGGTGAGAGAGAGAATAATTAACGCCAGCTCGCATCAGAGTCATTTGGGTTGTCGTAGTTGGATAATGCATAGACTCATTTATTTTATGTTAGAAATTACTTTCTTATTAAAAAGTAATATTATTTAATTTACATATTAAAAACCATTCAATTGCTTTCTTTTCTTTTCTTTTCTTTTCTTTTTTTTATCACAATTGCTTTCTTTTGGTCTAGAAGCCTATTTTATATTATTCATTTTAAATAAGATAAATAAAGTAATATAATTTTAATAATTTTGAATAATAAAATAATATTATTTTAATTAATGAATGTATAATAAGTTTAAATATTTAACAGACTTAGGCCAATGCTTTTATTTCTTTAAATATAAGCCAGATCATACTTATAATTTGGGACTACACAGGCTAACAGATTAAGCAAAGTCTAAAGTGTTTTAAACAGGTTTGGCTTATCTAAGCCAAATCTTAACCCGACCCAGCTTATTTATATCCCTACTGATATGAATACGGCACGAGAAATTCGTGTTGTGTTCGCATTGGCAAAAAATTAACACACAAAAATTGCGTCGTGTTACATATCAACCTGCAAATACGAAATTGACTCGAATTAATTTTTTTACATGTTATTTGTGTCGTATTGTTTCAACCTGCATAATAAGTGACACATTTTTAGGTCAGTAGGTTATCCATTCGTGTCGTGTCATGTCAACTTGCAGGTCGTGTTTGTATCAAAGGTTTTAATCCATTTTCAAATTTGTGTCGTATTTGTGTTGAGTGTATTCATGTTCGTAACAAATTTGTATTGCATCGTGTCGTGTCAACTTAGTGCCTGTTTGGATCCTCTTTTTTTTAAGCTACAAGCTACTTATAAGCATAAGCTAGGCCAAACAGGTTTTGGGAAAAGCTCTTATAACGAAAAGCTCTTTTTTTTATAATGAAGAAAAAAGCTGAAAATTAAAAGCTCCTAGGAGGAGTTTTTTTTAAGCTCTTATCTGTTTTTCTTGAATTGTGTGCTTTTTTTTAAAATAAAGAGTGATAAAGATAGAAAGAGATAATTTTCTTGAAATATGTGCTTTTAAGTAATTTTTAAGCTAAAACTTTTATGTAATTTCCAAACAGCTTTTAACTTATTTTTAAGCTCTTTTTTTTAGCTTTAGCTTATAAGTAGCTTCTAGCTTAAAAATAAGAGGATCCAAACAGGCTCTTAAATTGTCACCCCTAATTACCTACAATTATTTACAATTTAAATAATATAAATGTTGAAAATTTAAGTATGAAAGAACAATTCTCACGTTAATTACGAATAGAGGAAGTGAGTACAGTAAGTGAAAAGATCCATAAATATAACGTTTTAGGATTCTGGGTTAAAATACAGTATCAAGTCCAACTATAATAGTTTGTTTTTAAGCCCATTGATGGGAAAAACGATTTTGGGCTCAATAAATGCATCTGAAAATTGGAAGAAAGTGTAGATACGACAAGTAACTTGGGCAACAATCTTTTGGTTGCTATGGAATTGAAGAAATAATACATAATTACTTCCCTAATTAAGCCAACAATTGAAGAAAGGGGCATTTAGGGGTACCTACCAAAGGTAGTTAAGATAGGTAAAATTAAATGCAGATGGAGTAAATTGGGGACAACAGGGCACTGCAGGATTTAATGGGGCATGGTACATTATCACTCCCCTGTTTAAACTTACCAAAATTATAGCTCGTGAGGATGGATTCACAAACAAGTATTGTTATGGAAAAGAGATGGAAGCATTACATATATAGGAACACTAATCATGAAGCAGCTGACAAGTATTATCAGGACAGCTGGGTAATCATGATCAGTATCAATCTTATCCGTACGCAAGTTAACAATGTTCACACAAGTGCTGAATTAAGCCTGTAACTAGTAACTTAGGATATGTTTGGTGTGATGTATAAGGCTTTATAGTATAAATTTATATTATACGTTATCACATTTTCAGATGTTTGGTATGACCATCATAGTATAGTATAAGTTTATATAGCAGAACCCCTTAATACATCAAAATGATGTATAATTTAATCGGACCTAAGAGAGTAGGATTAGGCCTGATAAGGAGTTGATATATTAATATTGCTTACAAATACAATTCTCAAGAACTAATATATCATTTCAATATTAATATATTAAAATAATTATTTTTAATATATTAATTTTTAAAATATTGAAAAATATTATCTTATACAATACCATACCAAATGTTAGATAGTATTAAAATTTAATCAGATCTTATACTATCAAGTCTTATACTATCAGACTTTATCCAATACTTGTACCAAATATGCCGTTAGGCTTAAAATTAAAATGTTAAGGCATTCTTTATGAATATATATGCGTTTGTAATATAATTTATTAATTTTACACACGTCAATTATTAACAATTCTGCATACGTTGGTAGTTCCATCGAGTTTAACTAAAACTAAGTCTGCACATTTGGTAGTCCTATATCTCAAGTTTAACAAAAGAAAATTTAGAGATAAACCATTTTTATTATTCATAAAACATGATTTATCAATTTCGTATTTTAAAATTCTAAACAATAAGGTTGTTAAATGGAGATAACGCGGCTAAAACTTTACGAAACGTCACTTAAAGATAAAACCATGGCACTTGGCATAGCTACATCTTAGCTGTTTTCTTTTAAACTAAGGTGCAACAACTTGTATAATAATGCAAGTTCATTTATGCATTGTAGAGTTATGCAATGAGCCATAAAAACTGAAGATTATTGTGGTCAAATGATCAAAGAATAGTCAGAATAACCTCTGCAAGACTAAAATGTAAATTATATAAATATTTGAGTCACTTGGTAAAAACTTTCAGCACATGTCATATATAAGATAAGATTATATATTCATTAATTGGTAACACCGAAATTTGTAATCACTTGAAGACAAATTCAGATTCCAGAGTACGTGTCACTTGAAGACATACTTGACGATACCAGGAATATGGACATTCATGAAGTAGTCCTCCCAATCAATCATTTTAGGGTCAAAGTAAAACAAATCCATCTCTACCCCACCTTGTCTTGCAGCTATTTGCAACTTTGCTGTGTTCATATCATCAAATCTGTATGCAGAACAAGCTTGTCTCAGTAAACCAATATTAAACATGTGTTACTCTAGTATATCGCTTTTGCTGCTAATTAATTAACTTACATGCCACTGAAGAACAAGTATGGCTTGTAAAGGTCAACCAACCGCATCACAATATTGATCTTCCTATTGATGTCAAGATACATTCCCTGAAAATACTGGCAAAATGCTGCATTGACTAGCTCGAGCCCCTATTAAAGTGCAAACTAATATGTAAGCACTTTCTGCTTATAGAATTGTTTAGAGAGTAAAAATTATTGACATGAATAGAGGAATTTGGAGTAGAAATTAAGGATTAGAAATAACCTTCAATGGAAGCAAGTAGCGAATGAACATATATCTTTGGAAGCTAGTCATGCTGTTCAATATTGTAACTTTGCCAACCTTGACGTGCTTTCCTTCCTTGTTTACACATGGTTTTGCCGTGAAATATCTGAAGCTGTAGTCTTTGAGATTAAGGTATCTAATTGGATTTGCAAGGGAGGAACCCACATGATATATGGTATCACAAGGTTGATTTGCATGAGCCACCATGGCCGTTAGTATTGCATTCACAACCAAGTCAGCTGGTATCTGCTTCAAACTCAGCATAAATAATAGTACATTGTGTAGCATTTGATTAATTGATATATAGTATATATAATTGCAAGATCGGATTCTTCATTGAGGGACTCACCACGTCAAAAACTGCCTCAATATCCGCAAGAAAGCATGTTAATTTCCCTTTACCATAAGCAACAATTAAACTGTCTATTGTTCTGCAAAAAGTTCCAAGATAAGAAAAATCTTGGTAATGTGTTTACACAAACATTTCATAATATAACGGATAATTGAAAATGCATGCTTAACTAGTGTAACACAATGCGATACATATGCACATGAACATAGTGAATGACATAAAATTTTGTGATTTACCTTACACCTTCAACCCAACCAGGGAAAGGTTCTCTGTAAGTGCTGGTAACAATTGTAGGACGTACAATAACAATGGACATGTTTTCCTTCAGACTTCCTACAAGCATTTCTCCCATTGCCTTTGTAAAGACGTAAGTGTTTGGCCATCCATACATAGTTGCTCTGAAAACATTTGGTTTTTGGGGTTTGTTAGTGTTTAACCCGAGTTACTTGTACCAAGGTATGTGTTGAGATATATAACTAATGTGGCCTTTATAAGGCTTTGGACACTTTCACCCTTTGAGCTAGCTTTTGAGGTGGTGTATCCAAGGTTTTTTACATGGTATCAGAGCTTGAGGTTCGATCCTCACCGCCCCCCACTTTAAAGTGGAATTAAAAATAAAAAGCACAAAAGGTAAACAAAAAATTGGGTCTATGCATAATCCACGCTTCAAGCTCAAAGGGCTCTTGCGTGAGGGGGCGTGTTGAGATATATAACTAATGTGGCCTTTATAAGGCATTGGACACTCTCACCCTTTGAGCTAGCTTTTGAGGTGGTGTATCCCAAAGTTCTTTAGAGTATGCGTGATTACAAGTACTGTTTTCCTTTATACTTATTCCTTTTCAAGTTTTAACATGTGAAGATTTTATGATATTAGAATTCAAGAAAGTGATTCTTAATCATCAAATTGTGTATGGGAGTAACCTCAAAGTAAAATGGAAGTTGAAGATGCTAACCTTTTCATACCTAAGTCCTTCATGGCCATTCTAATATCATCTTCTGTGGCTCCCTCTTCTCGAAGCTGGTTCAACTTCTCTTCCACCACTTTCTTTTCAACATCAATGTCTAGTCCGGGAAATCCATTTAGTGACACACCCAATTGGCATGGATCCTCTGTTATGAGCCCTTCTCTCTCGCCACATACATATGCTGAAGGCGTAGAAATTATATCGATTAATATTGTAAGCCAAGCTTAGGAAGTCTAGTGAAGATATATATACTGAATTACATCGACATAGAGTGCCTTATTATTAAGTACCCTCATTAAATGCGTGCGATTTCACAGTTAAATATTTTGTCATTCCCCCATATAATTGTGAATGTGTTCATAGTATAGACTCTTAATAAAGATTTTGAGTCATATTGTAAGGACCATAACATATATCTTCCAAGCTCGTATTAATTCCTTCCTTAATCTAATTACAATATTTGGACCTTAGACTTCCAATTTAGCATTTTGTATTGGTCAATCAATATTTAGACGTTAAACATGGAAGCTCTACTATGAATTAATTTTGTACAATCAAATTATATGACCACTTCCTCAAATATGTTGGAGAATAATATAAACCATTAAAAAGGTCTTCACACAATAGTGAATACTATAAGATCAACATAATGAAATAACGGAGAAGTTGTTGATGAGAGACTACTATAAGATACAACAAAACGAAATTTGATATAACGAGTGGATTTTGATGAGAGCATCATGATTCATGAGGAATAATTGTGCGAGCTCAATTTGAATACTGACCAGTTGATACGTGGACAAACGCCTTCAGTTTAATACAATTTTTGGCGAAGTTCAAGACATGCTTAACTCCAAATGTATTAATACCCAATGCGACATCGTATCTGCATATAATGATTGACAAGAGTTAAAGTGAAAAATATTTGAATTTTTTAACTGTAACGATTATATAACTGTTGAAAAACACAAATATTGTTGAAAATAATCAAGTGTGAGTGAATAGTGGTGAAGTAAGTCCCATATAAACTAGATTTAGACTAATTGATATCATATAAGTGTAAAAGATGCATAAACCTACCGCCTTAAGGTTTTGGATTAAGATGTGGTGTTAGCCCACTTTTTATGGTTTCTCATTTAGCTCATTGGTGAATAAATTCTTTGCAAAAGTTTTGGGCTATGTGAATAAATTCTTTGCAAAGATTTTGGTCTCCCTCGTACCATTCCTAACAAATAAATATATAAGGTTCTAAATATATGATCCCAAATATATACCTCTCATCGAAGTTAGTTGTCGCAGCTAAATGAACTATAACATCAATTTGATTGCAAATCTCTTCCCGGAGAATGGAGTCTTTCAAATTCAAATCCTCTAGAGATATGTCACCAGGTACCAGAGTCAACTTTTCCGAGATAAAGTTATTGAACTTTGCACCATGATTTTCCTTCAACAATCTAAACAGGTCCTTCCGTATTATCTAACATGAAAATATAATTACGTATCAGCCATAAACTGATTTAGCAGTGAAAGAGAGTATTAGCAATATTTCGTATGTGTTGAGAGAGAATGAGTGACAATAATAAAACTACTCGTTGATTGCATTAAGTTTTGCTCAGATCAATCACGTGCTTTTAGTTTTTGGGATAATTATTTGCTAATTAATATGGTATCATAGTCTATACAATTAATGTTCAGACCTAACATGCACACACCCTGTGCGTCTGTTATTATTACTGTTTTTTAAAACATGTTTTTAGTTTTCAGAACAAAAAAACTCGTTTGGTAAGGTCTATTTTTTGTAAAAAAAAAATTAAAAAACTGTAATTATTGTTTTGTTTTTAGAATCAAATTTAGAGAACATATCTGAATTGTTTTTGTTTTATGTTTTGGCTTTTAACTTTCAAAACAAAAAAAATACAGAAAACAATTATTTCCATAATTATCCTACAAAACAGTATTAAGAACGAAAAAATCAAAACACAATCAAACAGGCCCACAAATTCGCTCTATTCTACCAAACTGAACTGCTTTCAGCAATATAATATGTACTGTACCAAAATTATTATACGTCAAATAACATCAAAAATATTGGTTTCAAAAGAAGAAATGCCGATTTTTTTTTTACCTAGCGAACTAATTAGATTGGGCGGGCCTTGCAAAGAAGCAATTAGTTATCAAGCTTTATTATTGGCAATAACAAAAATATCTCTGAATACTCAAAGTTTCATATCAGAAGCAAGTTTTCAAGAAACTGCTAGGATTTTAGCAAATTCTGCTCTTTAGGGTCGTATTGATTGGTTGTTTACAAGAATTGTCATCCGAATGAGAAATATAAAGCATACCCAACAATTGAATGGCAATAATGAAATTCTTGCAACTACATTCTTCTATTAAAAAATTGAATTTCAACACATGTACCAGTAAAGATTTTCATCATTTTTATGCGTTGTTCATGCTTATAAAAAATCTTGCAATGAGGCGTGTTATAAATATAAGTCAGTGACAAAGATTTTAACATAATTAAATATAATAAAAAATTATTCATATAACTTCATTTAAATTTTTTAAAGAATTGATAGGGAAACAGCTACTATATCTCGGAAAGCATGAAAAACAGAGTAGCACCCAAAAAAAATGAAAAGAAAAAAAACAGAACATCACAAATTGATAGTGATTAACCAGTCCATACATAGAGAAAGAAACGGATATAATAATTTTGTAAAGAATCAATTCCATAAAAAAAGAAGACTTAAGTTATTGAGTAAATACCTATATATTTAATGATTTATATTAGGGATAGGATCCGTTTACAAACTTTTCTTGCAAATTACACTAAGTACAACCAGTCGTATACTGCATGATTAAAATATGACCGGTCGTACTTAGTGTAGTTTGTAAACAAAAAAAAAAATTTATAAATATAACATGTCCCTTTATATTAATATAAGTTTATTGAGCTTCAAAGATGGATAATACACGTACTCACATATATGTAATAATGCTAAAAAATTATTCCACAAAGAAAATAAGAGATTACGAGTCACGTATCTGCGCTAATGCTAAGAAATTATTCCATAAAAAAATAAGGGATTACGATGATCGAATTCCGGACACCTAGACTATAATACATGTAAAAAAATCAATTTGAGCAAAAAGTTAAGCCGGTGAAGTACTGATTATGGTTTATATTAACAAATTTTTTATTTTTATCTTTGGGTGTCTGTGTGTGTGAAAGTCGTTGATAACATTTCTACATTCACCTCATTGTGCAATCGTCGAGTGGCAGATTCAGCATCTGTGGCTCTCAAAAGAAGATAAAGTTTCTTCACATGTGGTTGAACTCTCAGTATTTTCTCCACAAAAACTGCAATAAAATACAAGTAAACAGTAAACACAGCATGAGTAATAAATACACCAAAACGCACACAATAAGCAAGCATAGAAAGAGAGAAACACTTTTGGCAAGGAAGCCAGTGGCACCAATGACCAGAACATGCTTCTCCTGAAGGAACTGGGTTATGCTTCTCATTTCCATTAGAAGAAAAATTAAAGTATGAGTACAATAATAAAGATATCAAATGTGGATCTTCAAATGAAACAAAGAAAGACACTTTGATGTAGGTGAAACGTAATGTCCCAAATGGCAATACCATATATAGGGAAAAGATCGATCCTGTGATAAGGCACATGCATGCCTGTGGTCCCGTTTTCTGTGCTTAATATCCCATTCCTACACGTCAATACATTATGTAGGTAAAAGTTGTGAATGTGTCTCTTAGTTAAGGGCTCGTTGAAGCTAACGTAGCTGCCACTTCTCTGCAAATATTAATGGTTCCTGCAAAACTATTGACTCCTCGGTCTGAATCATGATAAAGGTCCCCAAATAATAGGAATAAAATTATTCATTTTTTATTATATTTTTTTCCCTTTTTACCTTATGAGTTATGATATCAACCTGAATTTTTTAGGGGGAGGGGGGAATAGTGTTAAATACGTATAATATAAAATTATTAATATGTTTCCACTTAACAATTTAAATTTTTAGATGAGATAGTTGTTTATTATAAAATTCTCTTGTGTGAGAAAGTGTGTTAAAGAGATATAATATAAAAACTTATACATCACTTAACAACTTATACTTTTATGTTGAATTGATTAACGGATGTGTTAGAAATGTATAATATAAAATCATACATCACTTACCACCTTGAGCTATTGGATAAGATAATTGCTTATTATAATATTAGAGCCAAAGTAATCACAAGTTTGATCCTCAACACCCTTCACTTTCTAGTGAAATTATGTCACCACAAGGTAGAAACAAAAATAAATGATTCAAAAAATATAATATAAACCATTGAAGAAGGCTTATCACTTAACAACTTGAGTTTTTAATTTAGATGATTGTTTTACGGATTAAAGTTGAAGACAACTAAAGCTCTAGCAAAGATAGTGAGAAAATTATTTACTTTGTTCTTCTAAAAATAGTAATTATAATTCGATATCAATGGTAACTATTTTTTTTCAACCGTTAATTTTAAATTGATCAAACGATAATTAAATAGGTAATAAAAATGGTGATCTAACCAATCCAAGATGGGTTGGATCAAATCATATACAGTTGAAGGTTGAAGACTTTAGGCTAAGTATCGTAATAAATGGGCTTGAGATTATTTCTATATATATAAGGGCTGTTGAATGATTCCGGCACAATGGAAGAGACTTGGGGTACCTGCAAAGACATTCCGACACTCAAGTCAGTATCAATGTCAGGTTTATGTTATAGTAAATTGGAATCAGATGATCATAATTAGGTTTGTACCCTTCATACTTATAGCAAGCTCTGTGCTGCCTTTTGTAGGCGGCATACTTTCTTATTGGTTGTTGTAGACTGCTGTCTTTCTGTCTCAGTTGGTGCCTCTCTGGCTATTTCCTTGGTGAACAAGTCTATATAATAGTCTGTCTTCTTATAGTGGTGACAAGCTGGAATTGTCTTCCTCATGTTGGCCCTTACGCGCGGTGGAACTCAGCTCATTACTTAGACTTTCCTTAGTCTATGAGTTATATATGGCCGCTTAACATGATAATTTGTGCAATGCTCGGTGTATGTATTTTGCACAATGGGATCGTTGTGCCTTCTTGGACCCTCTCTTGGCTTTAAACCTCATGGGCCTATATGTTTATCCAGATCAAATGGTAAGACTAAATCGGTGATATGTATAACCTCTTCCATATTTTAAAATATTTTACTGGTCACTCTAAAATTTTTATTTTCAATTTTATTTTATCAGTAATATTTTACTAAAAGAAATGAGAAATAACATTAATAAAGTAAAATGATAACCAAGTCAAGTATAATTTATTTTCAAAAATAAATTTTTTTAAATAACATTCCTCATTCTTATAAATATTCTTAAATAATTGGTATTTTAAAATCAAGGTCGTACAAACGTATCAAAAAGGAAACAAACAATGAGGCCAAACATCCTTTAAAATATATTATTTTTTTCAACTTAAGCATGACTTTTATCATCAACATTAATATATATATATATATTTAATTGATTTTTTTTCATGACAACCCATGCTAAATAGAGAAGGAGGTACAAATAAATATAATATAAAATTATTAATATAATTTTAATTAATAATTTAACTTTTTGGATTCAATTAGTTTTATATATGGTATCAGTGTTTTTGTGACCAAATGTGACCTTCATTGCCCCCATTTTTATTTAAAAAAAATTAGATATTATGAAAAAATATAGCACAGATAAGCGGACCTGATGGATTGTCTGTCCTTCAAGTCCAATGAATTCTTGTATAAGGGAATGTGTTAGAAAAATATAATAAAATATCATTAATATAACCAATACATCTTCAATTCTTCAAATTCAATTGACTCTTGTGTGCGGAGATGAATTAAATAAATATAATATAAAATTATTGAATTAATTTTTTAATGACCAAACCATCAAATATACTAGAAAAGTAATTTAAATGATACTTAGAACCCGTTTGTTCCCCTTCTTAAAAAAGTAACTTTTATCTCTTCCTTTATTTAGAAGTGTTTTTTACAAAAGTTAAAGCTATTTAGAGCTCGTTTGTTTCGCCTTCTCATAAAAGTAACTTTTATATTTTCCTTATTTTAGAAATATTTTTTACAAAAGTTAAAGCTATTTATATTTTTACAAAACTATTTAGTTTTTGAAAAAAATATTTGGTTTTTGACTTCTGTTTTTTTTTAGAAGTTAAAATTTTTAGCTTTTGAAAAAAAGTAAATTTTTGGCTTTTTGGTGACTTCTGCTTTTTTTAATAGCAGACATTCAAACAAACTAAAAATGAAAAGTGCTTTTTTTCAAGAAAAAAGCAGCTTTTGTAGGAAAAAAAGTCCATCTAAACGGACCCTTATATTTTTATAAAATATTTAGTTTTTGAAAAAAAAATTTGACTTTTGACTTCTATTTTTTTCTAGAAGCTAATATTTTTACCTTATGAAAAAAGTAAGTTTTTGGCTTTTTTGTGACTTCTGCTTTTTTTAAAAGCAGACATCCAAACGAACTAAAAATGAGAAATATTTTTTTCAAGAAAAAAAACAGCTTTTGTAGAAAAAAAAACTCATCAAAACGGGCCATAATTGCTCTTTATCTAAGTTTTATAACATTAGGTAGCTTGACACGAATAATTACACAAGTTGTTTGTTTCTCTTCCGTCTGGGACTTGAATCCTGTTTTATTTTTTTTATTTTTTATTTTTCTCCTAGTTTCTATTTCGTGGAATCTGTATTAAAAAATGTGTTGTTTTATATAACTATTTTATTTTAAAAAATAAAAAAGTATTGAATTTTTTCAACTTTATCTTTTTTTAACTAAGTAAAATAAATAAATGAGATAATATTATTTTAATTAAATATAATAATTTTTAAAAATAAAAAATTCTTATACTTTTTTATTTGGGAGAAAAATGTAAATGAGAAATAATTTTTAATTGAGTGAATTATTCACTAAGGAAAAAAAAAAGTCATTCATTGGCAACAAGTGTGTGCATGACAATGATTCAGTTTTCTAGCACTGTTTCTGAAATAGAAATAAATTTTTTTTATTTCTATACCTTGGAAGAGTTTACGGGGGAAAATGCTTTTGATAAAGCATTTTATTTTTATTTTGAGAAACAGAATTACGTTTGATAACACAATGCAAATCTATTTCTTTACTTTTGAAATAATTACAAATTAAGATTTCATTCAATGTGTAAAGTAACCAAATTGCAATAGATATTTTAACTAAACTGCCAAAATTTCATATTTAACAAATAATAAATATTTAATGAAAATACTAAATTATATTTTAATACAATTAAAATACTAAAACAAATATAATATTTTGTCTCATGAAAATAATACAATATATAAAAATACTACTCATTCAAGTGAGTCATGGAGAGAAGAAGAGGACAGGGGAGGAGAAAACAAGCTTACCAGATGGCACTACAAGAAAAACACTATTTCATGGCGGTTAAAATGACATTTTGTGATAGTTAAAAATTGTCGTTGAACGTTTCACACGACGGTAACCAAATCGTCACAGTTAGAAGTGTCAAGAGCTATTCCACGACAGTTTCGTCTAACTGCTATAATCACCAATGCATATGTGTTTGGAGGCGGTAACAAGTGACGGTATATGATGAGAAGATGTTGTTATTAAGAATACCGTGGCAGTATGTAATCGAGGCGATTTTGATCTGCCGCAAAAACTATACAAAATCGTTAGCAAAATTACTCAATGTGGTTGTAACCACCGCATAAAATGCATGAATTTTTTTAAAAATTAAAATTTAATTTTTATATAGAATTAATAATTAATAATTTAGAATCTCAATTGAATTTGCAATCCTGAAAAATATTTCAAATATTGATTTCTTAGCAATTTGTTATATAATTGGAATAAAATAACTTACCAAAGTGTATACAAATCCATGTGTAGTTTCTATAATATGAATATAAACATATGGAAAAAATAGTAACTAATGGTTATCCAAAAAAAAATTAGTAGACCAAAATAGATAAAACATTTCCATTTCATAATATTTAAGAATGCATGGTAGTGAAGAGTGCACAAATCCATTCCTGATAAAATGCATTCAATAAGTCTTGCTTTTACCAAGCAAATGCAATTGACCAACATAAAAATCAACAAAATCCCCTCAAGTGAAACATGTAATCAAAAAATAATACTGGTTTGCTAACAAAAGATACTCATTCAAAAGATTCATAACATTGGGGAGATTGTAAAATAAAACTAAGCCATAGGAGATTGTTCTATAGATATGTTTGCCAAGATAATTGTCCTAGAGTTTAAATATCATTTAGTGATGGTGCTCCCCACGCTGATTCCAGTGAAGTTCACATGTATATAGAAGGGTAGTGCAGGATTCGCAAAAGAACTCATTCATATAGTCCTAATACTATGCTTACAAGTCTTACAAGAACCCATTCACTCCCTCTTTGCCCCTACTCTTCCCTACTTCTCCGCACTCTCTCTC